CGTGTGGAGCAATATCTACCGAGTGGCTAAAGATGAATTTTTAAAAATCACACAATGAGGGGGTACAAAAAACCTTCCATCATTGAGGACTGGACGACATTGGTACAGTTTTAAAACTTGACAATCCCTTAAAATTACAGGTTTCTTAGGATTTGTCATCTACTATGACCTGAAGCAGGAAGAAAAAAAATCCAGATTATTATCTGAATGCCATATTTGGGTAAACTACCCCAAAGCTCTAAAACTTCTAAACTTCTCAGAAAAATAATGATAAAACTTCTTTATCAATATTTTGAGAGCACCATAATTGCCCAAATGCTGAAACAATAACTAAAATCTTGAAGTACATAACCAAGCAACCCACCACGAGGACTTTCTCCTGGGCTTGGACAGCCTCTGGGTTTTCCTTTTTCACCATCTGGGTCAGGACCCTCAGGGCAAATGCTCTAGTTGGCACATCCGGGTCACAAGCCTCCAGTAGGCAATCAGAAAAGGTCTTGGTAGGGGGGCAAGAGTTACTGGTGCCAGAGGTCCTCCCTCCAGCTTTTGGACCTACTCTTGCTGCAGACCCTTCAGAGGATGCTGGGTGTCTGATTTGGGTGCTGCCAGGTGAATTACTGTCTTGGGGAGATGGATGAGGACTAATCTGTGAGTTGTTTGCTTCAGTTTGCATCTTTTGATTTTTCCTAAGAGTGGGGTTGCTGGAGGGCTGAGTAGAAGCAGTAAGGTTTTCAGGCCGGTAGGCACCGTGAGTGGCAATGACAGCTCTGAGGTTGGATGCCAGCTCCTGGATGACAGCCTCAGGGTGCATCTGAGACAGTGTCTCCAGTGGTGGGAGCAGCCTCGACATAGAAGAGTAGTCCTCTGCACTCAGCTGGAATAGAAAAAAGGGGGAGAAGATGATTATGAGCTAGGTGTGCTTACCACCTTCTCTGATACATTTCCTACATATATTTGAGATTGAAAGCTATACTATGTAATGTTTCTGGGTTAAAAATGTCTATAAACACCAGATCTATGGTATCGATTTATTTTTTTTACTTGTGGACAGATGTTTCCAACAAGGCTCAAACCCAGAGAAATCCACACATTTATTCAAGTAACTGTGTTTTCTCGCTCGCATGTAGTTGCTATAACCTGGGGAAACACGGGAATATGGAAGGAAGTCAGCAAACAGAACATTTCTTTGTCTGAACAGGCAGAAAGTCTGAGTGGTTGCTTAACAATGAAGACAACAACTCCGATGATCCCACGCTATTTCACATCTCTACTACTACTCTACATTTAAGATAAAAGATATCACATATATTTTATAATCTACAAGTATCCTAAATCTGTTCATCATATTTGTATTTGTACACCTGCACTGTACTCCTCAGGTAGCTGCTATCCACCTACTGTAAACTCATCATGTAGCCACAGAATAAAGTGGATTGCATCTTGTAACACATTTTGTAATTAATTGTTGAGTGAAATTTCCAGTGTCTGTATTTGACGACATGGGAATAAGACTCAATGGTATGGTATATAAAGAGTCATCAAGGAAGTGATGACTCTTTATATACCACTGTGCCAAATGTTTTGTACAGGCAATATAGTAATGGTAGGGAAAACCCTGCTGTCATGCTGGCTAAAATTTGGCTGGTATTCTTAAACTTTACGTCAACGACAAGTGATAATTATATAATGTATATATTGTACATTAAGTCGATAGTGGAATTACTGGAATTACAGGCCTACATACACATGCATACATTTACAGTTGTCAGTACCTGAGGTCCAGACAGCAGTGTGGCCACTAGGCCAATCCCCATGCTCAGCGTCTGGCTCTCTACTGGGTTCCCAAGACCTGGACCGGTGGCCTGATCCAGGCCCACACAGGCCCTCTGAAGCAGGGACACAATGAAGTCCACCACCTGGAGAAAGGACCAACTTAGTCATGGGCACAAATAATCTAAAAATAGACATTTTCCAGTAAAGTGAGTTTATCAGAAACGTTTCTTAATCTGTGAGGGAATGTTTGTTGGCCCTATAACAGCAGCCAGTCAGCCGGCCAGCTCTCCCCACCCTCCACTCTACCAGAAATGAAGCTAATAGGCTATTTTTGTGTGGCAGCATGAGTCAACGTGGCCTCCTTCCATTATGAGAACTCCCACGGGAGCACAGGCCGATTTTAAACTATGCTGAGATGCAATCCCAAGAGGACGAGCTAGCACCTAAGAGAGGGTGGGATGTGCAACTTCAGAGGAGTTTCAACAGAATAGTACAGCTAGCCCTGCACTGTCTGCCCTGCTGCCACACAGCATGAATTTAGGACACAGAACCTGTCACAACCAGGACAGATGTACTGTACATACTGCAGTTCCACACAAGCAAGCACAATCCTCTACAGTATATTTTTAGGTTTTTGTGTCACCTGTGTGGGTTTGTTACCATTATGCCAGCAGAACAGATCACCAGTGTTTTTTCTATTCTCAGGAGTGTGTCAGCATAGACACTTTGTGCAAAACATTAAAACATGTGTGGCCCACTGGTGGCAGAGGCAGTGGTACCGCCAAATGGTTAGATCATAGACTTTTTAAGTAAAAATGGCGTGACGTCACCCATAGCCGTTGTGAAGCTCAGGGTGGTCGGCTCTGCCTTAATATAATTTAAACAGGTGAGAAAATTCACCCCAATACAGTTGTGACGAACGAGGAAATTAGCTATAGAGACCAAAACCAGGCTGGATTTGAAATTTGAACCAGATGAAAGATTTTAGTCATCGGATGTCTGG